GCTCACCCCAAGTGGCAAGAAGAAAGGACAGAGAGGGACCTGTTTGGGCCAAGCTTGTGTCAAGTGCAGGCACCTCTGTCTTTTCTTGGAGACAGGATCTTCCTGTGGTCTAAGCTGGCCTTGGACTTAGTAGCCCAGGATGATCTTGAGCCTTTTAAAAAATTACAATTACCAAGGCCAGGCTTGGTGGGACAGGCCTTTAATCCAGCACAGGCTCTTCTGCAGGTGCTGGCCTGCAGCCAGGGGCTGTCAGGAACTGAGGCCCAGTTGCTGTCATTGCTCAGCCTTGTCTGGTGGCCAAGCTGTGGACAAGGTTCCCTATTCTGTTGCTTTGTGCCTGCTCACCTAGGGCAAGAGTCCCCATGGCCTGGAATCCTAGCGGTGCTCTCACTACAGAACCTTTCTGGGCTGACAGTCACCTCCTCTGACCTGGTGATACTGACTGCCAGCTGGCCCACAGCTGAACTCTTGGCCACCTGCTGAGTTCTGGGTCTTCTGGGTCAACAGACCAGTGGTGTCTCCTCTGACCAAACCCTTCCCCTGCAGGGTAGCTGCTGATGGGAGAACCCTGTGTTCTTTGGGGTGGACGAGGGAGTGGTTTCTACAGTTCTAGGTACTCTTCTTTGCTTAAGCTGTAGTAGTGCAGTGCCATGGAGGACCTTAGGCCACAGAAAGTTCTTTTCTCACCATTCTGGAGGCTGGATGTCCAAGCCTACATGCCCTACCCACCAGAGTCATCCTTACCCACTCCACCTGACCTATGCTTCCTCTGCCTCCTCACTGTCCCTACTCAGCTCTTAGTGAGGCCTCTCTTGACCTGCATCTAACTGTTTCTAGTATGCCCCCTTGTGGCAGTGCCTGTGTTGGCTTTTTTTTTTTTTTGAGACAGGGTCTTGCTTTGTTGCCCAGGCAGGTCTCAAACTTGAACTGATGGACTCAAGCTGTCCTCCTGCCTCAGGAGCATATGGGACTACAGACAGGCAGGTGCTGCTTTTCTTCCCCACTTACTCCTTTTTTTTTTTTTTTTTTTTTTTTTTTTTGGAGTCAGGGTCTCATGTAGCCCAGACTGGCCTCAAACTCCCTATGTTGCCAAGGATGGATTTTGAACTCTTGACCCTCCTGCCTCTGCCTCTCTGAGATCACAGACATGGTCTACCATTTATGTGGTGCTGGGGATTGAATGTGGGGCCTGGTGCATGCCAGGTGAGTGCTCTGCAAACTGAGCCCTGGCCACATCTCTTCTTATGAGGACGCTCATCCTATCATTTCAGGGCCCACCTTAGTGACCTCCTTCACTTTAGTTCACTGTAGAGTCCCCATCTCCTGAGATGGCTACGCCAGGAGCCAGTGCTTCTCTATAATGCATTTGGGGACACTGGCGTGTGGCTCATAGCACAGCCATGAACATTTCTGTCTGTCAAGGGATTGTTCTGCACCAGTCACAGCTGTAACACAGGGACCACAAGAGGGCATCAGACGCTATGTGGATGCTGGGAACTAAATCCAGATCCTCTGCAAGAGCAGCCAGTGCTCTTAACCACCAAGCTTGCTCTCCAGTCCCAACCCTTTTTTTGTTTGTTTTTTGAAACCAGATTTCCCTGTAACCCCAGCTGACCTAGAACTTGGTATGTAGACCAGGCTGGCCTCTCTCAGAGATTCACTTGCTTCTGCCTCCTGAGTGCTAGGATTAAAGGTGTGTCCTACCACACCCAACCCCACTTAAAAATTTTTTTAATTACATTTATTTTTTTGTATTCGAATATCATGGCATGTGTGACATACCATAGCATGTGGTCAGAGGCCAGCTTGCGGAGTCAGTTCACTTCTCCCACCATGTGGATCCTGGGGATCGAATTAAGCTTATCAGGCTTGGGACAAGCACCTTTACCCACTGAGCCATGTTGCTGGCCCCTCAGTACCCTATTTTATACACCAGTCAAATGAGGCTCCCAGAATATCACCCACTTGGGCCAAGCAGGATACCTGCAGGTCTAAGGAGCTACAGAGCTGGGTCAGAACCCAGCAGCAGCCTGGTTGTCCTCCCTGACCTCAGGGATGTGCTGGGAGCCTACCTGTTGTGCTTGCCTTGAGGGGGCTCCTGAATGCCCCAAAGCAAGTGGAGGACCCTGTCTAAGAGCTCTGGAGAGGCTGCCCCGAGATACAGGGTTCTTGCCAAAGCCCTGGCTGGGTGCTGTTGGTGGGTTCCACAGGCATCTTCTCAGGGGTGCTGTGGTCTGTCCGTGTGTGTGTCCATTGTTCTCCCCCGCTCCAGTGAGAGTGGGTTCCCCAGGAAATATAGAAGTCTGGCCTCAGCTCTTGAGTCCTGACATCTAGGTGGAAAAAGAGCAAGAGATGGCAGCATGTCTGTGTGAAGGCTGGAGGTGGGTCCCCACCGTCCTTCCCCACTGCTTATCTCCATTCATGGATTCCTAGCTACAGGGAAGCTGTCTTGTACACAGCTCTGGGTGCAGGGGTAGGGACAGCAGTGAACAAGAGTGCTTAGCTATGTCTCTATTTATTTATTTATTTATTTATTTATTTTGTTTTTATTGAATTTTTGTGTATTTCATCCTTGTTTTTTTGAGACAGGATCTCACTGCATAGCCTAGGCTGGCCTTGAACTCTCAACCCTTCTGCCTCAGCCTTACAATACTGTGACTACCTATCCCAGTGCTTTAGTTTTGTTTATTTAGGGTTTTTTTTTTTTTTTGGTCTTTTGGAGACAGGGTCTTCCTATAGCCCCAGCTAGCCTGGAACTCATAGAGATCTGCCTGCTTCTGCCTCCAGAGTGCTGGGATTAAAGGCATGCGCTACATGCCTGGCTTTAGTTTATAATGTCTATGTCTTGCACAATTCCTTTGTCTTTGGCTGGATGAATTCCCCAGCCCCAGTCAGGAATCTGGTGCTTTGCACGTGGGGCTGGGAGCATACCCAGAAGTCCAGTGAGAAAAGGGAGAACTTGGACGAGTTAGCTAGCTCCCAGCCACTGATAGGATTCATTCCCTATAAAGGAACCCCCAATACCAGGAAATCGTTTCTACTGAGACTAGGGCATCATGGACAGAAGTTACCTTGATTGTCTCTTGGTGATTGAGGTTTGAGACATCAGGGATGAGTAGAGCAGAGAGTATGACAGCCCTGGTGGGACAGCAGGCAGCCTTTCTTGGGGTCCCCATGCTGTGTGTCACCATGACTTGCTAGCAAATGAGTGACAAGCTGGGGATGCCTGGTGGTCAGACAGGCAAGGTACCTCGACAGGTGTGCCCTGGCAATGTGGAGACACACACAAGGTTGCTGTTGTAAAGTACAGCCAATTAAGGGTGACTACGAGGCTTTCAGTCATGCTGTCCCTACCATGTGCCAGGCATTGACACCCTGCAAGGAACCCAAGGCCTAGGGCCCCTGGGAAGTGTGGTGTTCCAGGCAGTTGCTGGGCCTCAAGACGCTGGTTAAATGAATTAGTAATGTCCCAGGTAGGACTATGAGTGATGTGACACTGGGCAACTCACCAAGTGTGTCAGAAGCCTTGTGAAGGTCAGGCAGGAGTGACAGGTGGAGGTTTGGGGGTGATGACCAGTCCAGCAGGCGTGTCAGGCCACCCTCACATCTGGAGAGAACTGCACTGTGGAACCTGGCACTCCAGACTGACACAGGAAATGTATTTCTGGATCGCCTGGGCTAAAACAGCAAGACCCTATCTTTTTTTTTTTTTTTTTTTTTTTTTTTAAAAAAAAGCGAGGTGTGCTGGCACATGCCTTTAATCCCAGCACTTGGGAGGCAGAGGCAGGCAGATCTTTGTGAGTTCGAGGCCAGCTTGGTCTACA